TTTAGATAACATTGTTTACGTAATTTTTCTTTGCCTTTAGAGCATTTTAAAACATTTTAAGAGCTTTCATTGATCATTTTAGGCAGTGTTTTAGGTCATCAAAATCCGCACCGAGTTATGATAGATGATACGCACATAGAATAAGAAATTGATAAATGATATAATAACAAGAGGAACTATAATAAAATCAATGGAAAAATAAAAAAAATCTATATTATTTCGACATTTTTATTACATGAATCATTGTATTCATTGTTTCACCACGGTTAAACAGTGGATATACTCACATAGGGAGGAAGGTTATAGTGTGTTGGAGACGCTTTATGTGTGTCAAGAGACAAAAAGTCTTGACACAGCACAAAAATGTTACGAGCCGTTGCCACGATGGTAATGTTGTTTTTTATGTGGTCGTAAAGCTATCTGCATTAATGAACTTCAAAAGTACCACATGCAGAATACTTTTACTGCTACAGTAAAAAACACAAGAGGTGACAGTGGTGCTAAAACTGACAAAGATATATCAGCTTTTGCTAGACTTTTTAGGAATAGAAGATTAAGTGTTTTGTAATTTGAATGTGTGTGGCAGGCTACACACAAGTTATTTTGGAATCAGTTTTAGCAATACACTCTCTATTCTATGATATAAACTAATGGTGCTAAAACAGCACACACTTTCTCGCAATTTGATGTAAAATTACGCAAAAAGTACAAACGTTTTCGAAAAATTCTATATGACCTTATTTCAAAATATATCTTTAAGGAATATATTCCAATAAGGCCAAAACATCTATCATTTTACTTCAAGGTGTAGGAAGAGGACAATCAAATTTTAAAAAATTGAAATTCTTGAAAAATCATGGTTTTCTACGAAGCAGAGACCTGCGTAATTCTTTGAAACGTTCTTAACCCCATCCAACAACAAAACTTAATAAAATACGATGGAGCCATTTATTTTAAATATTGAAAATGCCCCAGGCGCTTCATGTTAAGTCATTCAATTTTTCGGCATCAATGATCCACAAAACACGAATAAGTTTTTTGCCAGAAGGTTACATCGCTTGTTAGACAATTTTTGTTCTAAATTTAGCAATTGGATTTATCCACTTTTTCGTTTCCAGGGCCATATAATTAGAGCTTTCTGCCGAAAATTCGCATTTTTTTCGCGCAGCATTGTATACTGCCTATACTCTACTGCGTAAGTAGTAGCGAGAAATTAAAAAGAGTAACCGTTTGAAACTCCAAAGTTTCATAGATATAAAAGATAAAGTGATGTGGAACAAGTTGTTGGTGTATGCCAACTCACCAACCGAAGAATTTTGGTTTTCAATTCCGTTACAGACATGGATAATTCTCTGGTTCTTGATGAGAATGTGAAGAGTTTCGTGATCTACCCACAAAATTATTATTATTATTTTTTATTATTCATATTATTATTGTTATTATTATTCATATTATTGTTATTATTATTGTTGTTATTATTATTATTGTTATTATTGTTATTATTATTATTATTATGGTATTTTTACTCAGAGTTTTCTCATCCACGGTTCCAGGTTTGAAGGGTCTCTAGGCATCCTACATATTTATTCATACTTATAAACGTGCGAACAACTCTGAAAGTTTGAAGAAGTACAAGCTTTTGAATATTTAGAATAATTTTGTGAGTAGTAAGATCTAATTTTTGCAAATAACACTTAAGGTAACGAGACCATTTGCTGATATTACACAGGCGCGGATTTACGGGGAGGACAATGAGGAAAATTTCCTCTCCCAAAATTTTTCAGTAACTATTAATTTTAACTTGTCATGAAGCTTTCAAGTAACAATATTTTCATATAAACATTAAAACGAATAACATTGTATCGCAACATGAGCTGAGTTTAGCCTGCGACATTCTACATAACACACACTCGAAAAAAACAAAACATTTTGAATAAAAAATATTTCTCCTTCTAAAATTATCCCGGATCTGCACCTGTATAATTGCTATAATCTCAAAAGACACGAGTTTGTATTGTTTTATAGTATTGAGGGGAAATAATTTTAGATTGTTTTTGTTTTGGCTATAATGATTTTCTAATCAACATGGTGTGTAACATCAATGATGAATGCTTTCCTCTTCTGAATGTTAATAGAACAGAATAGGTCTAGTTTCTTTGCCGAAATCGTTTTATGGGTATGATTTGCAAGGTCGTAATACATTTGTACTGATTACTTTCTACGACAGGTGTGAGTTTGTAATAAGGTAGGCTTCCTCTTCAGCCAGAAGCCCATGCTTGGTTGGCAATGCTTGGAGTACAATATTTGCTGTCAGGTTGTGTCTGTGTAGATATTCTGCCTGTCAGATTTACTCGCCCAGTGAAAAGGTGATATATTGGCTCTCACTGCGTTAGGTATACTCGACATTCGTCATTTACGTCTTGTTAATTTTCCTTCCATAGTACAGGGAGGAAAAGTATGGGGAAAACCTCAACAATAAAATCTGGAAGTTTTCGTCTTAAAAATCGTGTTTAAGATTTTTTGAGCTGTAACTTCCCACCCCCGTCAGTACCACGTCAGTACTATAAGAGTGAATTAGTACTTTCAGTGCTGTAATTAAAAGGATTGTTAATATTTGATGTTTCGAAGACCTAAAAGCAATGTTGTACCCAGAAATCTGAATGTTTGAATGAACTATGCGTTACTCGATCAAATTACAGGGGTTTGAACTGAATTTTGGTAAATAGTGGTCGAAGAACACTAAGATATTTTCATTTTTGGGAGTACTTTTCGTGAAGTTCCTGTGACAACTTTAAAACCTTTCTGGAAAATGGACACAATCTTTTCGTTTAGTTTTTTTGGTCGAGAGTGTACTTGCAAATATGTACAATTCCAATTTGTGTGTGCAAAAAGGCGATATTTTGACAAACAAGTTTTCTTGTAACCCCCAGATACCGGTCCGTTATGCCGAAACAGCATACCACAAAACGTCTGCCCGTTCTGTTAAAAGCTGGATATGAAATTTGAAATGGATGTTTTGATTTTTGGGGGTTCTTTACTGTTAAGTCTCAACGACATTTCCTATTTTTTTGTGGGAACTTCCATATTTGAATCTTTGTTTCAAAAATATGATGAAAGGGTATATCCATTCTTTCTGGGATTTAAGGGAGCATAACCATTGTTACATAAATACTATTTCTTTGTGTAGAGGCAACAATTCAGGTTATAATGAACTTCAGATCTGTTACGTGACAGTTGCATAACGCTCTCCGATTACAGAGTAGACGACATCCATCTGTTTTCTTCGGAATATAGACGTCTTCATTGACTGTGACGACAACATTCAACTACGTACAAATTTTACATAACACTAGAATAGATTTGAACAACTGAGATGGTTCCGTGACAAAAACTGAGGCTGCTGCAGGATTTTTGACGGGTAAAACTTTGGCTTAGGATTTTTAACATTAGCTTCACAGCTAGGTGGAATTCAGCTACTGTTTAGAGGAAAATATGAAAGGCAGGCAAATGATCTGATTAGTTGCTTTCGGCGGTTCTTCTAATCAGTTCCAGGGAAATACCAGAGCAGTACTCTAACAAAAGTGTAACGGATCCCATGCGATCTTTCCTTCCTCTTCCTTGTCCTATCCTCACACCTTACTTTCACACACACACACACACACACACACACACACACCATAGTGTAAATACATGAGTTCCTCCAGTGCACCGATATTTGCCCGTTCCAAGGACCCTCAGTTTGCGCACTAACCACGTGACCACAGTGCAGGCACTTTGGTTGAAAAACCAGACCAGACTGTGACTGCCATGCTTCATGGAGAGCGAGTAGTGTTAAAAAACATTTTGTAAGTGGTACAAAATGACAATTTTCAACGGCAACCAACCAAAAATAACGTAATGAAGGCGTACAAGATGCACTATTTAAATTAAATACTTTATAAATATTTTCTGTTATGACCAAAACAAGTTAATTTCATAAAAACAGTTTTTTATTGTAAATTGCCGAACATACAGAAAAAGCCGTTAACATGCTTAGTCACAAAATAACCAGATTTACCCGGGACTTGCCAGATTTAACGAGAGCCGAAAAGATGTCCAACAACAATGCAGTGGTCACTATCCAGAAACCAGAAGAGAAGTCCATTATAATGGCCGGCAGCGTAGTCACTCACTAACTTGCACACTCGTAGCTCGCACTGTGATGGAACGTGCAACGACTGGAACTGTCCTCACTGCTCACTGCTCGCTGTGCGCCGTTTTATACACTGTCAGGGCTAATGGCTCGGCGACTGGCCCGGCCGAACGGCCAATGACGCGCTCGGTGGCGCCGACCTCAGCAAGACGGCTCCGCGGCCGACCTAAGCGACCTCCCGTGAGCGGTGCTCGTATTTTTCTGGGGCGCCGTCGTCTCACTACTGCGTTCCGATGGCGGTTCTTTCATAGGGGCGCGGGCGACCACTACAGTTTCAGTATCTTATAACGATGTGAAAATTTTGGTATCTGATTGGATTTAAAATTCCCGTTATTATTTTGATGCAAGTTGGTGTTTGAAGTTCATTGGGCTGAAGTCGGATACGATACGTAAGAGCATACATGCATACAGCTCCAGACTGATCGGGGGGCCAGGCTGGCGCTTAATGCTTATCCCAGCAGATGCGGTGCACCGCCGGGGGATGGCTGGGGGATGCCTGAGAAATGCCTGGGGGATGTCTGGGATGCCTGGGGGATTTCCCCGACGTGTAAGTTTGCGCCTTATCTCACGTTCATGCTGGAGAGAATCGATGCCTACTCCCGGCAAGCTCTATGCTCACCGCATAAATGACCGTAATAAAAGTATTTGACGTGCCCGCCAGTACGTACTTTCTCGCCGGTATGCTGAAGCCAATTTTTGGAAAATTTTGAAAATGTCGCAGAGGCTTCATGTAAAGTCTGTGTCTACACTTCGCGCAACCGCCCGCGAATAGGCCAGGGCCTACAAGCAACGTCCCGGCCTTTCGGCCATGGGATTAAGGGGGTACGTGTGGTTAGCACGAAGACATCCCTACGCGACGTATTCCTACACGAAGACGGTCTTCTCAACCTGTGAAGTGAGTTCTCTCATCGTCACACAGCAACATTTACTGGTTCATTGCAAGGATATTGCACACTATAATATTGCCCGACCGGGAATCCAACCCGGAGTCGCGTTATGGAAAGCGAGCACACTTAGCAATGAGCTAAACCGCGAGGACTCGAGGTAAAGTAACCTCAAAATTAACATATCGGTTTCAAATTGGAAAGGCCGCGAAAATCGGCTGAATGGTGTAACCGCGTTTCGTAGTTCACTGACAGACAGATAGACGTATGAAGTTACGAACATTTTGGTGTCAATTTGTAGGTATTAAGAACCCACAAAACATAGATTCTGGCTACACCACGTTTTAGAGGATTTTCTATCCTAAATTTAGCAACTATTTTTATTCACTTTTCGTTACCAGGTTTACGTGATAAGCGTTTTTCTGCTTAAAATTCACCTTCTCTTTCGCGAAACACTACCCAACTGCCTCTCTGCCGCGTAAGTGATAGCGAGAAAGCAGTAGGGAGGGGCGGGATGTAACAGTGCCACCCGTTCCCGCGTGCAGTCGAAAGGAAGGGAAAGAGACCGCAAGTGCTTCCCTGCGCGCGATGGGGGCTGGCGCTCGCCCGGCGATCAATGCGCCGTAAAAGCGAGTGCGGCCGATGCAGGCACCTCCGTTAAGCCTCCCAAGGCCCCTGGCGGGCGCTGCACCGCCGGCCGCAGCGGCACGCGCGCCGGCCACGCTGCGGACAATAAAATGGCCCTTATCGCACCCGACGAGAAGGAATTGATTCCGCACGCCCAGGTAACCGAACGACCCACGGAACGGCGACAGAAGGGAACGGGCAACGTGAACGAAACATTGAATAATATGTAGAAAACGTAAAATATATACTTGTGGATATTGTGAAATGTAATTTTATTCAATAATACTTTGTTGCTAAAGAGAATGATAGTATGTTAGTTTGTTGGTATGTTTGAAATTGAAAATATCCTTAATTGGTAATACTCATTGTATAAACGACATTCTGATTGAGGGAACTCAGGGCATCAATTGATGTTACAGCACTGCCTCTGATTGCCAGGTGCTAGAGTTCAAATCTCGATGGTAGCAGAAGTTTCGACGCTATGACGCTATAGCTGTAGAGCAAGATCACTATGTCGAGTACGGTCGCTGTCTTGAGGAGAATTCTAGCGGCCGGCCGTTCTAATCGGTAGTTTTCTGTGGTTTCTTTGATCAATACCAGACGAATGTCGGAGTAGTACCCTAACAAACGGGCCACGGACCGCGCACGACATTTCCTTCCTCTTTCTTGTCCTATCCTCACACCTTATACACACATTAACATGCACCACACTAGAGCTTGTCCCAGCTGTGATGGTAGAGGCCCACTGTTGGGGAAAACCCTGCTAGCAGACAGTAGGTCAGCACCGGATTTCGGCGGGGAATTATCACCGCCATTTTCCATGATAATACATTCACTGCACTAATGGAAGAAGTGGCAATAGTAGGAAAAACGTCCGGAAACACAAAATAACAACCAATCAATCTACGCTGTGCGCTGCCTTCGTTCGTGACCATTTTCCGTTCTTCGATTTGGAGTCGGATTCGTTCCCTGTTTCCATTAAGAGATAGCATAGTGATGGCCGCGTTCGCCTGCCTCGGTAGTCCAGAGGAGAGTGATCTATCGCGGAGCCGATAGATGTCTGTTCGTATCACGCGTGGGTGTTTTTGTCCGTGATTGTGGAATGGTTGACTTTGTCTCTTCATCAATATTGTAATTCAATACTATCACGTCCAATTGCGTACATGTGTAATATGTCAACATCTTTTGCTTTCAGAAAAAAATAACTGTTTATGTACTTTTTGTGATGAATTCAAATATGCCTTCGTATTTTTCCTATTAGATAGAGTGCTTTTGTGATGCTGTTAAATCGATGTAATCATCTTAGCCAAGCTCACTCAGCTTGACGTTTACACGTTTAACGTTTCGTGTTGCTACTTGATTGTGGTAATTTTAGGGTGTATTTTCTATTTGAAATATATCTCAATTTAGTCAATAGTCAGCCAGACATTCTATGGATATAGTACGTCTTCGAGTACGACACTTCTCTGTGAACACACATGATTTTTACGTCTCTCTTCCTAGATGCATTGTTAATAATACAAGAAAGTTATGTTGTAGCATTTTTAGTTTCTTGCTACACGACAAGTCTCTGACTCTTTCGATAACAATAATGTATCGGCATTTTCCAGCTGAGAAGCAAGTCTCGACATTGCACCCTGTATTTTGTTGAGATTGGTCACCTCAGGAAATTTTCCTTCTAACAAAGGAAATCCCGTGCAGGGCTCAGGATTCAGATCGATCGAAGACATCCAGACGGTTCTGGCTCGTAAAGTCAAAACAATTTCGTAAAATTACTTCTCTGAAGCCTTGAAAACTTGTGCCGAGCAATGTTCGATATCAAATGGATTCAGTGGTGCAGCCTAATATTTCTAAGGAACAATACACTTTATGGTTATGGTAATAGGTAGACTAAACACTTTGTTTCCTGATAAAGAAGGTTTCATTTATGCTGAATTTTAAATTGATCATTTGTTGAAATATGGTTATTAACGAGATATATTAACCTGATATATTGAAATACTTTTGCTACTGAAGAAAATTAGAAAAAACTATATTTGCGAAAATGTCTCATTCCGGGGAGGGGGGATTAAGACCCATGGTTCCCCTTGGGTACGTGAGTGATTGGGCCCCTGAGTACATAATCACTCATAATAATCACACACCCACACACATACACATACGCACATACACACATCCTGGCGGAGTTGTCCACAGCTGATGTCTGGGTTCGATCCCAGGCGAAGGACAAAGTGGGTTCGTGGCAGGTTTTATGGGGGGTACTCACGTTTCCGGTCTCAACATGCATACCGCCGGCTTGCTCCATGAACCACTCCCTACCCTCTCATATCATTAACCAAGCTAAGGATGCGTGGATCACAACGGCGTACAGTTAATAACCTTGGAACTACCTGAAAAGGATCGTGGCTACATTAGCTAGTTATCGATATGTGGGGTCCCGGCCTGGTGAACTAGAGAGAGAGGGAAAATGGTAAGGGAGCAGGGGACGCCCCTTCCCAAAGTCCTAAATACGGGTAGGAGAGAGTGAATAAAATTAATTATTATTTTCTTTTCTGTCGATTTTTGTCTGTAGATTTAACGACTTTCTCAGACTATTCGGTGTTTATTTTATAGACAGAAAATTGTTTGTTTTTTTCCTGAATATGGAAATAATAATTTCCGAAACGTTGCTATTATGTATCACCTGTTTTAGTAAAATTCAATCATATTGTTTTTTTATTTTTCTAAAAGTGTTATTCAAGAAACAATTTTCTGTGTCCAAAATAAGCACCATTTATAGTCTGACAAAGTGGACGAAATGCCAGGCGGGACGAGGGGTAGAGCTTCATTGAAGCCGACCCCGGATGAGGTAGAGGCAGAGGTGAGAGTTCCGTTCATTCACAAACGCCTCTGATTTTGAATCCGCCGTTGTGCTTTCCGCTCGGCTGAGCCGGGTGGAGGGGCCGCGCGGGTCTTCGGGGAGGGCGTTGAGCCGTCACCCAGTGCTCCGTGCCCTTCGCACGGCCCTGGAGAGCCAAGGGGCGGGGGCGGGGACTGAAGGCAATGAGGTGGGACTCGCGGGGAGGACAGGGCGGGGAAGGTGTGGAAAACGGACAGAAGTGGGGACGGAAAGGGGGTTGGATGAGGGCGGGATCGGAGGCGGAAAGAGGTGGTCAGGAGTGGGAGCTAGTTCTTCAAGTGGCCGAGGATGGACCGAGGTGGGGTCGGGACGGGTCGGGACGGGTCCGGGACGGGTCCGGG